ATTTAGTATAAAATGTTACCTAATTATTTTTTTAATATATTCATAGTTTGGATCATAACTATTATCTAGTAGTCTCAAATTGTTAAATAACAATTTTTACTAAACACTTAATTTTAGTAATTTAGATAAAATTGTTAACAATTACCCTAAACTGCTATAGTAATAAGAACCTTAAATTCTCATTGATTTTCCCTTTTTTCTTAAGCAATAGGCAGAAAATTCAATGGAGAACATACTATTATTTAATTTTGTATGCAAAGAATTAAAAAGCAATTAATAAGAATCGGCGGGAGCCACCAATCAACTTGAAAAGTTAAGATGCTTTGATGAGTTGAATATGAGGTGGCATCAATTTTTGTCATGTAAGCATTTTGTCTTAATTATATTGGGAAATAATTTTGGGATTTTTTTTTATACAATCTAATGTATTATTTAAATAAATAATTTTTTATTTATATAAGACCTGTAATATTATGTACATTAACTTATTTAATGACATGTGAAAATTGTATTAAAAAGTAATATAAAAAAATTGTTTCTATAGCACCGTCCAATTATATTTGCATATCATTAAAAAAGATAATAAAAAAAATAATGATATAAAAATAATTTTTTGTATAATTTTTATATTATTTTTATATATTATTAAATAAATAGTTACACCAAATAAATAAAAAAATTAATTATTTAAATAACACATAAAATTATAAAAAAAATTATTTTAAAATTATTTTTCTAATGAAGAATGCCACGTGTATGCACTCAATGACTCAAATTGATAGGAGGGCAAAAAGTGTGCATTTTTTAGAAATTTGAGGGATGAAAATAGGTGGAAAAATGTTGAAGAATGAAATCTGTTCAAAATTAAAAGTTAAGGGACTATATTTAACATTTAACCTTGTATTTTTGTGAAAATTTTTATTCAAAAAAAAAAAATGGATTTAATAGCAGACCCCCAATAAAACGTCACATTTTGTGAGTGGGCTCATACCGTTATTCCATTATGAAAGGAGATTCTTAAGAAAAGGCAATGGCAGTCATAATCAACCAAAAATTTTGATCAGATTAAGATGTCCACATATTGCACTAGGTAGTAATAAAAATATTAATTAACTTTTTTGATTTTACTCATAATAAAAAATATATATATTTGCACCGGACCCTTTGGCTCAAGTGGCAATAGCCATTTAACGTGCATTTCCCCCCTCCCCTGGGCTGGGTTCGACCCGCTCCTTCTAAAATCCTGTTCAAAAATATATATATATATTTTTTTTTCTTTTAAAAAGGTGAAAAATAAAGGAATGTATCAAGTACTTTTTTTTAACCATGCAATGTATCAAGTACTCGAGCTTGAGTTTGAGGCCACTATGAATGACAATTATGACACCAAACTTTCGTACGAAACGGTTGATAGACCAACAACAGGAAGGTCGAAGGTGCCTTGGAAAACATCCCTCCTAAAAATGTATAGTACAACTGATAGTACCTCCAGCTGGTACACACAAACATGTGCTTGCAGAGTTGCAGTACAAAACACAAAGTGCCTGGATATATACAAT